GCATGTCTAAGATGTCCGAAATCCTCGCACAGCGGTGGAATTTGAGATGGAAACTTATGCACAATGAGACACTCCGTGTGGACAGGATTCTGTGCTGGTTTCCGGCTGGTTGATTCTGTTTGTGGCTGTTCTCGCCGCCGTCTTTTTCTTCCCTTTACCTTGCTCTCCAAAAACTGGCGTCGGTGTTGCGTTGTCTTTCGCTGCTCAAAACGAAATGGCCGAAGGTCGACTGTCCCAGAGGTACCAAAAAAACAAACGACCCTGCAGCCTCACTAAGAGACCCGTCAAGCCACCTGTTGTGGCCCCGCAGAAGCGTTTGCCAGGCGAACTTGGTCACCTGCGCGCAGCACGTGCTGCTGAGCAAAGACCCGAAATCCCCTGCTTGAAGAGGAAGAAGCGAAACGGTTCATCCTCGTATCAATCACACCCATCACCACCACCATCCACACCACCACCGCCGCCACTCCGGGCACGATGACTTGATGATGCTGCTGATGTGGATGATGCTCATGATGCAGATGCTGACGATGATGACAGTGACGATGCTGANNGATGCTGATGCTGATGCTGATGATGCTGATGATAAAGCGTCTCGGCCCCAGATACCGGTAGCAGGTGCGCAGCAATATCACTCTTCTTTCTGGGACGTTGGTACTCTGCAAGTAGATCCCATGGTCCGCTCGATTACTGCACTGACCTTCTTTCAGCTGGCTTTGCTACACGCATTTCCTCTTTGTATCTTGGGACACACGACACGCTTGACGAACCTGCATCCTGATCGCTTGACGGGCCGCTGGGTCTCAACTCCCCAGGAAGCATTGCCGCTACCGTTGAGATGACGACTTTGGCTGCTTCAGACGCGAGGGTTGCGACGCTTACCACAGGTGTCGCTGAAGCCGAATCGAAGAATTCCAACGCTCGCACGATTAACGTGAAGCATCGCGGAGAGGGGCAACAGGCCCCAGGGAGGTTGCGTGTTGCCGAGAGAGCATACAAACGTGCGCTGCAGCGAGGAGCAGCGAAGTCTGATGATGGCACCACGATGTACGGCATGTAACGACTATGTAACGACTGAGGGGCACTGGCAACAGCACATCAGTCTGGATCTGGCTTGCACATATCAGTGGGCGTGGGACTCTGACCTCGTGCAGCAACGCTTGCAGAAGAGACAAGCATGCTGGGCAAAACTCAATAGACTCCTACGCTCAATCCATACTAGGCACTATAAGTTCGTGGCCGGTGATTTCAACTGCAAGCTGCGTGCACTCCCTCGCACATGTCCTCCTTGACCGATGCCGATCCGATTGGGGATCGAATGTACGGCGAATCTACGCCGGAGGTAATGTCGTACGCAGAAGTCATCTCAAACTGGACTGAGTATGCGAATGGGGCTGAACCCAGATTTTGTGAGGTGCTTGCAAATACGCCAGATGATGAGGAGGTGTTTCTGGTCAGTGCCCCACTTCCGGAAGGCCTTGCGATGCTTCCATTGGAGAGTTATGCCTTTGATTGCCTCCAAAGACAAGTTGTTACAAAGGTAGATTTCGAGGTTATGCTCACAATGTTTCGTCCGTTGCTGCCACAAACGAAACGAACAAAGGAGCGCATCAACATGAGTGTCATGCGACAGTCGACCCATATTTATGAGGCCGTTGTATAGACGTGCTGCTTTTTTCACTGAGGTATAGTTGATTTGCGGACATTCGTGTCGAGATGGGATACTGTAGCGTTGATGGATGCGCAATGGCGCAGCGTCCAAGAGGTGCCGGGTACAGACAAGCGCTTGTCCCATCAGCCTCGCAAGGCGTTTCATGTGGACGCTGCATGTCGAAAGAGATGCTGATGATACTGATGATGCTGATGATGGTGATGCTGATGGCTACTATTACTATCTCTATCACTGTTAGTATTACTATTAAAATTGGTGTTGCTGTTACTAGTGACTAGTGCTGTTACGATTACGATAACTATGCATATAATTATGAGTCGTATTGATATTGCTGTAAAACCCTTATCCGTACAAACACCAATGGCAAGTACTAATGACGCCACCACGACCATCATCAGTTCCTTCACATCGGTATTACCATTGCCACGGGTGCCACTGTTATCACCACGGCCTCTGCCACTTCCACTGCTGCTGCTGCTATTAGTAGTAGTAGTAGTAGTAGTAGTAGTAGTAGTCGTCGTCGTCGTCGTAGCAGTACTACTACTACTACTACGACGACGACGACGACGACGACGCGTGTATGCCGAGGGCGGTGTCAGTGTAAGCCCAGAAAGCTCCAAGCAGGTTCGGATTTCGACCCCATGAAATCCCATGTAATGTAAAGTCTACTGCTTAGATGGCAGGACGGCGTTGAATAGGGATCGACAAGTGGATGTTTCTTCAGATTTTGCTTTCAGGTTCGTCATAACATGAAACTTAAAACCAGGGTTATCGGGAGTTGCAGGCTGTCTACAGGTCTGAGGGGCTTCTAGAAGAAGGTTTTGCTGCAACAAGGCGCAAGGAGAGCTATCAGCGGTGTGAAAGTCTCACGATATCTGCGTGTCTTGGGCTCGCGTTTTAGACAGTCTGATAGCGGCTGCTGTCATCATGGCCCTCACCTCGACTTTCGTGTTTCAGAAGATAGGTGGCCGCTTCAAGCTCGATGCAGAGGAAGACATAAAAAGCTGCTATGGAATCGCAGCCGTGTCCGATGCCCTCGAAGCATTGAAGAGGCAGCGAGAGGTCAGACTTCGTCACTTGGAACGATCGCAATTGGCGGCTCAAAAGTCGGAGGTGGGGACTTCTTAAAATGAGGGTTTAGGGTTCAGGGATATAGGCCCGAATAGTAGGGCTGCACGCAGGGACCCCGCCACAGGCACCCCTAATTCTCCGCCAGCTCGGTCCTGCCTAAAACTTGACCCCCAAGCATAAACCTTAAACCCTATTCCCCGCAGCCCTAAATTCTAAAACCTGCCGCCCTAAGCCTTAATTAAGCCCAAAATCCTACACCCCAGGTCATGAACTTCTTAAAGAAGCACGGCTTCCGCAGCCGCCTGGAGACTGAGTGCTTAAACGCACCGAAAAGAACGGCCCTCGGCCTGCGACGTACCTACCCTTTGCACCTTGGGCTTAGTTTAGAGCGGCTGAGGGTTTAAGGTTTTACTCTTAACCACGAATAACCTGCCTGTTTAAGAACTCGTAGGAATCATAAAAGGTAGGTTGTATAGGGCTACTGAAGGTTTAGAGTTCAGGGTTTTCTTATCCAATGGCAGCTTGAGCACATGTCACAGCATGTCTTTGATAATTTGGGAGTGTTGTATCCTTGCAATGTGTTGTTTTGCACAGCTTTAACTTGTGCTTCCTTGGATATCAGCGAAGTAAGGCACCAAGCAGCCAAAATGAAGGACTGGCACATGGTGAAGCTTCTGCTACAGTTTGGGGCTGATGCGGCGTGCCGTGACAGCACAGGTCGAGATCTGGAAAGCTATCTGGCTGAGCTGCAGGCACCGGACAGCATTCGAACACGCCTCTCTTCCTACCGCATCAGGAAAGACTCGAAACCGCTTAATTAAGTAGAGACCAGAAAGCAAATCATGGGAAGTTTGCAAGATACCTTTCGATTTTCCTGATATCTAAATTGCAGATTTGTCGAGTCGCTCGGAAAACAGGCCTTGCAGACCCAGCAGCTGGGTCGGGAAAGCAACGCGCTTTCTTCGGGCCGATGCGGCGTTGGAACATAATTCGTGCAACGATTTGGCTAATAGTCTTTCCTGCTCTTCGTTCGGCGTGCTACGCAAATAACTTATGCACCTGTGCAGTTCCCTAAATTAGGGCCCCTTTTAGGGGTCCTTTTTGGAAGGGTGCCGTACTTTGTTTGGGATCTAAACAAGGACCCTTATTTAGAGAACTGCTCATATTCCGAACTGACCACTGCGCGAAGAGCTGGCACTTCCCATCTCGTGAATTCACTGAAGTGTTTTCCGTGTTTGTAGTGTGTCCTGAGGCAACGAAGGAGCCCAACCGACGGCAAGGACAGGAAGGAAGTTTGTCATTTCGGATGTAGTAGGGTCGCAGATACACAAAGTTAAGCAAAGTATATATATATATGTATATATATATATAGAGAGCGAGCTATACACATATATATATATATATATGTGTGTGTGTGTGCGTGTAAACATATACACATGTTTTTAATTTATATACTCTGACATTTACATACCATAACACAACACAATATAACATAACATATGTTGTGTCATTCTTCAAAACAATTTCGAAGCATTCGCATGTGCACATCTAGAAAAGCCACGAACCCTAATGTGGTACCTTGAATAAGCAGTCGATTGTAAGAGACAGATCAGTGATAAGATGCTCCCTAGTATCCTGGCCCTTTGCTGTCGCCCTAAACCCTAAACCCTAAACCCTAAACCCTAAACCCGGGCCTTTTCAACACTTTTGTCTCGGCGACTTCCATGGCGAGGCGAGGACTTCCCTAAGGGTGCATAGTGCATGTGCCCAACTTGTATATACTTTGAGTCTAAAGACTTAAGAGGAGCTTGTTGAAGTTTGGGCTTAGGGTTTAGGGTTTAGGGTGTAAGCAGAGTCTGGGTTCAAAAAAAGGGTGTAAGGATTTGGGTTTGAGGTTTAGGGATTAGGGCGGACCCTTGGGATCGTGATGGCCAGAGAGTCTAATTCAATCGAGTGCAGAGTACTGTGGCCTGTGACGGGTTCCTATGCCTCCCGCCACACCTGAGGCTCATTGGCCAAGAAGCCCGAGGGACCCCAAGTAGACAAGCCACAAGACTACTCCAGAATATAGAACCTCGACATACTGAACTAAGTCAAGTCGCTCGGGCTTTTTGGGGAAGGTGGTTGGCCACATGCCACAGCATCCGCAAGTCACCCTTCCCTCCTTCGGCCTATGGTATGCGGGCCGACGGTTTTCGAATATGGCATCATCGGATGCTCAAGCCCCTACTAGAGTTACTAGGCCCCCCCAACTTGCCTAAACCCTAGACCCCAAGAGACCTTGAATACCCAGAATTTACGGACCATAGCACCTCTATGTAGCGGGGGCTTGGGAGATTCTATTTCGAACCCTGAGCACCGGGATGGCCGGGCCGAGCATTGAATCGGTGCTGACTAATAGAGGGGCCTCAATCATGACCTATAC